CTCCAAAAAATGCCCCTATAACCGGTGGTTTTTATTACTTTGTATTATTCTCTATCGTATTACCTTCCTAAAACCAAAAATCGCATGTCTCTATCCCTATTACAACGTTTGCAATGATCGTACACTGTATACAGAGTTATCTTTTAGGTAGCGCATTTTCTTACATAACTTGATGGTAGTAATAAAAATGTATGAATAAAAAAAGTATGAAAAATGAAATTATGAAGAGAGATTATTATGAACAAAAATCGTTAGTAAGACAAAGAATAGGATATAGAATTTTATGTGAGCCAATATAGAACCCCCAATGGCTGAGTGGCTTGGTGAATTGAAATCTTGAACGAAATGGGTGCAGATTCCGTTCTTTACCTGGACAGTTCAGACATGAAAAAATGACCTTTTCTAGTTCTGGTTTTGCGACAAATGACGAAGTCGCGTTTTAGTTTTCTTGCTCTCAGTTTTAAATTATCTCGAACGTTTTTGTGTTCTTTACCTTAAGTGGGTTATTTTCTGTAATGTGAGTAGGTAATAGACCCGTTATTTGTTTTGTTTATTGTTTGTTTTCTCATGCATTTTACTTGATAAATGCATTAACGTTTGACCTTTGCAACCGGTTGGATCATGACTGTAGCTTGACCACTGTTACCACATGCTAGGGCTCCACTACCCTCAGCTATTTCAAAGGAGCTAACAATAAGGTTATGGTTATGGTCATGGTCAAGCTATGTCAAAACTAAGGCCTTGTCCAAGAGAGCGAATTCGCCGCGAATCCTACGCACGTTGGCGAGATACTAGCAGCCAATACATTGCGTCCACAAGACAAATCGCGTCACACATACGCTCGTGTTCGGCGAACACTGTTCGCGCGTAGACATTCGCGGCGAATTCGCCTTCCTGGACAAGGCTTAGAGTCCCAACTGTAACACATTCTTGTTCCACAGAGCAACAAAAACAGTTGTAAAGACAATGTGACGAAGACCCAGTGCCTCCAGCGTATTCTGTGATCTTAGCTATAGTTTGTGCGATGACAGGCCCCCAATGTTGGACACTTTTATATGACGGTACATACTCGAATCTGCAGCTGACACATTGGTAAAAGGTGAGTTAGATTTTATGATATTTTGAACATAAATTACAGTTTAGACTTGAGATAATATCTAGATGGAGAAGAGCCTCGGCTAGTTTTAATTGGACGGACGCCCCTTAGCACCTCAACTCAAACTCAACTCGATGGACGGATGAACTAAAAAATTCATCATTGCTATAGCAAGGAACGGCAAAAGCCAAAAGCTTAATGGACAGCTTTTTACAAATAAATTTATTATTCCAAGTTAGTTTTAAGGTAATTAGGTAAAAGTGCTTTTTAAAAAACCTACTTGCAAGAATAAAATGAGTTTTAATGACTTTGATATTGTCACCAACTGTTGAGCGCAAGTACAATAAAAAAACAGTCATATTTTCACTCGCTAGTTGGCGCCGGCGTCAATGGCCAGTCGCCAAGACAAGGCGCATACTGATGAGAGAAGAACAGGGTGTTAGGTAAATGGGTATATGAGCCGACACTAGCCCATGTTAGCATGGTCATATAAATGGTATGGTGAAGTCAGAAATTTGATATCATAATTATTATTTTTTTAATTTTCATACAAAATAAATTTTATAAAATCCGACTTGTATGAAAATTAAAATTAAAATGAAGATATCCATTTTCTGACTTCACCATACCATTTATATGACCATGTTAACATGGGCTAGTGTCGGCTCATATACCCATTTACCTAACACCCTGTATTTATACTTGGCGCTTTTAACGAAATTTTGTCTCTCGCTTGTCTAATAAAACGATTGTATTTGCACTTGTAATTGACGAGACTTACCAACGGCGTCAACTGTCTATCGTACTTGCGCTCGCCAGTTGGCGCCAAAGTGCTTAAGTGAGAGTTAAATGTAGGCACACAGTATGCGCTTATGTGTAACTAACGAGACTTGCCAACAGCGCCAACTAGATAGTCATCATATCGTACTTGCGCTCGCCAATTGGCGCCACAGAGAGCTTAAGTGTAGGCGCACACTGGGCGACAGTAGCGGAAACTACGACGCCTATTCTTGTCAATTTCATATGATTAGCTTGTCGTCGCGACTCCGTGACTCTGAGCGCTCCTGCACACGACGCCGCCACTGCGCCGCCGCCGCGCCCCTACACTGTTCATACGCGCGCCACCGCGCCGTCAAAGCATAATTTCCCCGCGGCGCGGCGGCGGCGCGGCAGCGGGCTTCACGCGGCGCGTATAAACAGTGCAAAGGCGCGGGGGCGGCGCGGCGGCGGTGCGGCGGCGGCGTCGTGTGCAAGTATGCCTGGCTTTAACAAAATATATGAAATTGTCGGCCGCAGCCTGTCGTCGCTTCTAATCGCCGCGTCTTTCGCCTAGTGTGCGCTCAGGCTGATTTACAGTTTACACTGTTCTTACTCAGATGGCGTACTTACAACCGGCGTCGCTGGAAGCGGCGCTGCCGCTGCTGGTGCGTCCGGACTTGCGCCTCCGGCAGCAGCTGGGCGAGCAGCTGGCCGCGCTCGTGCGCCGCGAGCCCGACATCTCGCACGACGCGGCGGCGCAGCTGCTCGACGCGCTCGTGGCCTGGCTCAACGGCGGGAACTTCAAGGTGAGATACTGACATTACTGACTGGCGCTGTAGCACTTTACAGTGTGGCGATAGTGTCTATTTTGCAGCAATTTGGTCGGCTATAGGGCAATCCTTTAGGGTAACTTCTAGGTGAGACGCAACCGAATTGGCGCCACCATCTAAGTACTGTAACAATTCTGTCGCTTCATTCTGACGTCACGCACGACGCGGCGGCGCAGCTGCTCGACGCGCTAGTGGCCTGGCTCAACGGCGGGAACTTCAAGGTGAGGGCAGAGTGCCGCTGTAGCACTTAACAGTGTGACAATAGTGTCTATTTTGCAGCAATTTTGTCGGATATAGGGCAGTCCTTTAGGGTAACTTTAAGGCGAGAGCATCAGACATGGCCGAATTGGCGCTGCGAGTCAAGGTTAGAGCGCGGACTGGCGCCAAGAATCAAGGATAGAGCGCGGACTGGCGCCAATGTGACTCAACGATTGTAATTCATGAGTGAGACCTCGTAGCGTAGCTACGTCAAAGTAAGACACTATCGGATTGGCGCCGTGCTAGTGGCAAGGTAACGCGGACTGGCGCTGGCTAGCGTCGCAAACAGCTAGTCGCGCCTTAAGGGAGCCTCTTCTTAGATATAGTTACGTAGTTACTATCGCTAGTCGACCTCGACCAGCTAAGTCTAGCTCTATGCCTTGCCGCCGCTGCTATAAGACGCGGACTAGCGCTGGCTTAACACTGCAGATAGCTAGTCGCGCCTTAAGAGTGCTTCTTAGTTACTATCGCTAGTAGCCTCGACCAGCTAAGCCTAGCTCTATGCGTCGCCGCCGCCGCTGTGCGTCCGGCCTCGCGCCTCCGGCAGCAGCTGGGCGAGCAGCTGGCCGCGCTCGTGCGCCGCGAGCCCGACATCTCGCACGACGCGGCGGCGCAGCTGCTCGACGCGCTCGTGGCCTGGCTCAACGGCGGGAACTTCAAGGTGAGGGCAGAGTACCGCTGTGACACTTAACTGTGTGGCAATAGTGTCTATTTTGCAGCAATTTTGTCGGCTATAGGGCAGTCTTTTAGGGCTAGTGCACATGCTAAGCCTAAAGATACTAGCAACGATGGAGCACGGCAACTGCTGGGCATCTTCTAGGTGAGACCTCGTGGCCTGGCTCAACGGCGGGAACTTCAAGGTGAGGGCAAAGTGCAATGTGATGTCTCTTACAGGGCTAGGATGCGCCGCGATTTTTCGTGCAGTTACTAGAAGCGGGGCGTAGCTCAATGAAAGCAACTTGGTGAGAGCATCAGATACGGCCGCGAGTCAAGGTTAGAGCGCATACAGGCGCCGCGAGTCATGGTTAGAACGCGGAGTGGCGCCATTGTAACTCAGAGTGAGACCTCGTAGCGTAGTTACGTCAAAGTAAGACACTTACGGATTGGCGCCGTGCTCGTGGAAAGATAAGATGCGGACTGGCGCCACCCTAAAGCCGCGGACAGCTAGTCGCGCCTTAAGTGTGCCTCTTCTTAGTTGACATAGTTACATAGGAGCCTCGAACAGCTAAGGTATCTAGCTCTTTGCGATGCCGGCGCTGCTATAAGACGCGGACTAGCGCTGGCTTAACACTGCAGACAGCTAGTCGTGCTTTAAGAGTGCCTCTTCTTAGTTACTCTAACTATTTGACCTCGACCAGCTAAGTCCAGCTCTATGCGTCGCCGCCGCCGCTGTGCGTCCGGCCTCGCGCCTCCGGCAGCAGCTGGGCGAGCAGCTGGCCGCGCTCGTGCGCCGCGAGCCCGACATCTCGCACGACGCGGCGGCGCAGCTGCTCGACGCGCTCGTGGCCTGGCTCAACGGCGGGAACTTCAAGGTGAGATACTGACATTACTCTCTGGCGCTGTAGCACTTTACAGTGTGGCGATAGTGTCTATTTTGCAGCAATTTTGTCGGCTATAGGGCAGTCCTTTAGGGTAACTTTAAGGCGAGAGCATCAGACATGGCCTAATTGGCGCCGCGAGTCAAGGTTGGGGCGCGGACTGGCGCCAAGAATCAAGGATAGAGCGCGGACTGGTGCCAGTGTGACTCAAAGACATAGCGTGGACGTAACGTCGAAGTAAGACACTTTAGGATTAGCGGCGTGTTCCTGGCAAGATAAGACGCGGACTGACGCCAGCTAGCGTCACAGACAGCTAGTCGCGCCTTAACAGTGCTTCTTATTAGACATAGTTACGTAGTTACTCTAGCTAGTCGACCTCGACTAGCGCCATGGTCATGGTAAGGTGAGACACTTGGACTGGCGTATTGTGTCATCTTACTTAGTCACTGTTAGTTGACTTCGGAAACTAGCTAAGGTATCTCTATGCGTCGCCGCCGCCGCTGTGCGTCCGGCCTCGCGCCTCCGGCAGCAGCTGGGCGAGCAGCTGGCCGCGCTCGTGCGCCGCGAGCCCGACATCTCGCACGACGCGGCGGCGCAGCTGCTCGACGCGCTCGTGGCCTGGCTCAACGGAGGGAACTTCAAGGTGAGGGCAGAGTCCACTCTGATGTCTCTTACAGGACTGTGTACCCGTGTAGGGCTAGGATGCGACGCGATTAGTCGCGAAGTTACCAAAAGCGTGGCGTAGCTCAATGGAAGCAACTTCGAGGTATTATATCAGATACGGTTGAATTGGCGCCGCGAGTCATACCAAGGTAAGGCGCGGACTGGCGCCAAGAATCAAGGTTAGAGCGTTGACAGCATTGTCTTTGCGAGACACGAGAGATGCGTCCGAAATAACGCGTGCTCGTAGCCAGGTTAGAGCGCAATTTGACACCCTTAAGAGTGAGAGCAGACTTAATTATGACGTCTCGTTACGCCTGTAGGGCTAGCAGTCTCTTTCTAGACACACAAAGTGTGTCTCAAGGTGAGAACGCCATCTGGCGCCACCCTAGAGCCACATCTAGTCGCGCCTTAGGGGTGCCTCTTCTTAGAAATAGTTACGTAGTTACTCCAGCTAGTCGTCCTCGACCAGCTAAGCCTAGCTCTATGCGTCGCCGCCGCCGCTGTGCGTCCGGCCTCGCGCCTCCGGCAGCAGCTGGGCGAGCAGCTGGCCGCGCTCGTGCGCCGCGAGCCCGACATCTCGCACGACGCGGCGGCGCAGCTGCTCGACGCGCTCGTGGCCTGGCTCAACGGCGGGAACTTCAAGGTAGGGCAGAGTGCAATGTGATGTCTCTTATAGGTCTAGGATGCGTCACGATTAGTCGCGCAGTCACTAGAAGCACTCGTGGCGTAGCTCAATGGAAGCAACTTCAAGATGAGAGCACTGAGATCATCAGACACGGCCGAGTTGGCGCCACGAGTCATACCAAGGTACGACGCGAGCTGGCGCCAATCAAGGTTAGAGCATTGACAGTCATTGTCTTTGCGAGACACAAGAGATACGCCCGAATTCGCGCTGTGCTCGTAGCCAGGTTAGAGCGCAATTTGACACCCTTAAGAGTGAGAGCAGACTTAATTATGACGTCTCGTTACGCCTGTAGGGCTAGCAGTCTCTTTCTAGACACACAAAGTGTGTCTCAAGGTGAGAACGCCATCTGGCGCCACCCTAGAGCCACATCTAGTCGCGCCTTAGGGGTGCCTCTTCTTAGAAATAGTTACGTAGTTACTCCAGCTAGTCGTCCTCGACCAGCTAAGCCTATCTCTATGCGTCGCCGCCGCCGCTGTGCGTCCGGCCTCGCGCCTCCGGCAGCAGCTGGGCGAGCAGCTGGCCGCGCTCGTGCGCCGCGAGCCCGACATCTCGCACGACGCGGCGGCGCAGCTGCTCGACGCGCTCGTGGCCTGGCTCAACGGCGGGAACTTCAAGGTGAGATACTGACATTACTGACTGCCGCTGTAGCACTTTACAGTGTGGCGATAGTGTCTATTTTGCAGCAATTTTGTCGGCTATAGGGCAGTCCTTTAGGGTAACTTTAAGGCGAGAGCATCAGACATGGCCTAATTGGCGCCGCGAGTCAAGGTTAGGGCGCGGACTGGCGCCAAAAATCAAGGATAGAGCGCGGACTGGTGCCAGTGTGACTCAAAGACATAGCGTGGACGTAACGTCGAAGTAAGACACTTTAGGATTAGCGGCGTGTTCCTGGCAAGATAAGACGCGGACTGACGCCAGCTAGCGTCACAGACAGCTAGTCGCGCCTTAACAGTGCTTCTTATTAGACATAGTTACGTAGTTACTCTAGCTAGTCGACCTCGACTAGCGCCATGGTCATGGTAAGGTGATACACTTGGACTGGCGTATTGTGTCATCTTACTTAGTCACTGTTAGTTGACTTCGGAAACTAGCTAAGCCTAGCTCTATGCGTCGCCGCCGCCGCTGTGCGTCCGGCCTCGCGCCTCCGGCAGCAGCTGGGCGAGCAGCTGGCCGCGCTCGTGCGCCGCGAGCCCGACATCTCGCACGACGCGGCGGCGCAGCTGCTCGACGCGCTCGTGGCCTGGCTCAACGGCGGGAACTTCAAGGTGAGGGCAGAGTGCACTCTGATGTCTCTTACAGGACTGTGTAGGACTACTTGGGTAATTTCTAGGTGAGAGTGACAGACACAGTTGAATTGACGCCGCGAGTCAAGGTTAGAGCGCGGACTGGCGCCAAGAATCAAGGTGAGACACTCCTGAATTAGCGCTGTGCTCGTAGCTAGGTTAGAGCCCGATCTGGCGCTATTCAAGGTGATAGCAGACTTTATTATGACGTCTCGTTACGCCTGTAGGGCTAGTAGTCTCTTTCTAGACACACGAAGCGTGTCTCAAGTCAACGTGAGAGCGCCAGACTGGCGCCACCCTAGAGCCGCGGACAGCTAGTCGCGCCTTAAGTGTGCCTCTTCTTACTAGACGTAGTTACTATCGCTAGTCATCCTCGACCAGCTAAGTCTAGCTCTATGCCTTGTCGCCGCTGCTATAAGACGCGGACTAGCGCTTTCTTAACACTGCAGACAGCTAGTCGCGCCTTAAGAGTGCCTCTTCTTAGTTACTATCGCTAGTAGCCTCGACCAGCTAAGCCTAGCTCTATGCGTCGCCGCCGCCGCTGTGCGTCCGGCCTGGACGCACAGCGGCGTGGCCTGGCTCAACGGCGGGAACTTCAAGGTGAGGGCAGAGTACAGCTGTGGCACTTAACACTGTGACAATAGAGTCTATTTTTCAGCAATTTTGTCGGCTATAGGGCAGTCGTTTAGCGTAACTTCTAGGTGAGACGCGTGGGGTGAGGGCAGAATACACTCTGATGTCTCTTACAGGACTGTGTAGGACTACTTGGGTAATTTCTAGGTGAGAGCGACAGACACAGTTGAATTGACGCCGCGAGTCAAGGTTAGGGCGCGGACTGGCGCCAAAAATCAAGGATAGAGCGCGGACTGGCGCCAGTGTGACTCAAAGATATAGCGTGGACGTAACGTCATAGTAAGACACTTAAGGATTAGCGGCGTGTTCCTGGCAAGATAAGACGCGGACTAGCGTCGCAGACAGCTAGTCGCGCCTTAAGGGTGTCTCTTCTTAGTAAACATGCCGAACTATAGTTACTATCGCTCGCGCCTTAATAGTGCCTCTTCTTAGTTACTATCGCTAGTCGTTCTCAACCAGCTAAGTCCAGCTCTATGCGTCGCCGCCGCTGCTGGTGCGTCCGGACTTGCGCCTCCGGCAGCAGCTGGGCGAGCAGCTGGCCGCGCTCGTGCGCCGCGAGCCCGACATCTCGCGCGACGCGGCGGCGCAGCTGCTCGACGCGCTCGTGGCCTGGCTCAACGGCGGGAACTTCAAGGTGAGGGCAGAGTGCGATGTGATGTCTCTTACAGGACTGTGTAGGGCTAGGATGCGTCATGCGACGCGATTAGTCGCGAAGTTACTAGAAGCACTCGTGGCTCTGGTGTCTCTTATAGGGTTAGGATGCGCCGCGATTTTTCGTGTAGTTACTAGAAGCGTTTCGTAGCTCAATGGAAGCAACTTCAAAGTGAGTCAAGATTAGAGCGCGGACTGGCGCCGAGTATCAAGGTTGGAGCGCGGACTGGCGCCAATGTGACTCAACGCCTGCAATATCTAGGTGAGACCTCGTAGCGTGGCTACGTCAAAGTAAGACACTTTCGGATTGGCGTGGCAAGATAAAACGCGGACTGGCGCCGGCTAGCGATGCAGTCAACTAGTCGCGCCTTAAGAGTGCCTCTTCTTAGTTACTATCGCTAGTCGTCTCGACCAGCTAAGTCCAGCTCTATGCGTCGCCGCCGCCGCTGTGCGTCCGGCCTCGCGCCTCCGGCAGCAGCTGGGCGAGCAGCTGGCCGCGCTCGTGCGCCGCGAGCCCGACATCTCGCACGACGCGGCGGCGCAGCTGCTCGACGCGCTCGTGGCCTGGCTCAACGGCGGGAACTTCAAGGTGAGGGCAGAGTGCCGCTGTGGTACTTTACAGTGTGACAATAGTGTCTATTTTGCAGCAATTTTGTCGGCTATAGGGCAGTCCTTTAGTGCTAGTATGTGCGTAATGATTAGGCATCTTTTAGGACTCTAGGTGAAACGTATCCAAATTGGCGCCACGAGCTAAATACTGTAGTAACAGTGACTGTTTTCACAACAATTATGTCGCTTCATTCTGACTTAACATTGACGCGGCGGCGCAGCTCAACGGCGGGAACTTCAAGGTGAGACGGATTGGCGCCAACTTCAAAGTGTGCGCGGACTGGCGCCATTTTGGCGCCGCTGGCAGCTGTTCGCACTCCTGCGCCCTGAGTATTGTGGCATCTCCATTATCATCAGGCTATTTACTACAGGACAGAAAGGCTTTGGCCTAAACTCTCCACACTGGCCAAACGGGTTGTTAAGGCTTATGCTCGTTTTACTTTTCACCATCAATCCCTATTTTTAAGGGGTCACTTTGAAAACAAATTCCTGTTGTGTCACCATAGGGGTCACTTAAAAATTAAGGATTGATGGTGAAAACGGGCATTAAGCTCGCATATTTGCCCCTTAGTGGCTTTACACGAAAAGATTGGGAATTAATGTTCCTATACACGTCTAAATGCATCTTACGTATCTACTAGTGGATCCCAATACGATGGTAGTAGCTACAGTATTTTACATTCCCACTACAAATACAAAACACTAAAGAATATTTTTACACAAACTCATTAGCATTAATGTTAAATCTAACCACGCGATCTAATGATTTCGGTAGTTAATTCTTCGAACTTTACACTAAGTTTTAGGCGGGATATCTACCTAAGCACTAGTACCTTATGTACTTGACATAGATACGATTTTTCAATAACTATTTGTAGTTTTATGTGCGCTATGGGTTTCTGGGTTACACTATCAGCACCTTTGACCTTGTAACCGTTAGTTTTGTTAATTAATAGCTAATTAAATTGATATTGAATAATGTTGCGATATGTTACACAATATTTAATTTTTGACGACAAAAGACCATTAGAATTTGACGTGAAAATAGGAAAGTTTTTATTTTGTACTAGCTTTCCGCCCGCGGCTTCGCCCGCGTGGAATTTTGTCTGTCACAGAAAA